TTGTGTCATCCCTGTGCCAGCCCCAGTTAACAATCTGGCTGTGTCTCTTTGAACCAAGAGAATTTTCTGAATACTTTTCAAAGGCAGCCTCAAACAGTCACCTCATGTGCCTCTCCCTCCCAGCAATGCCTCATGCTGGCTTCATTGGAACCAGAACAACATAGGAAGCCTCTTGTGTTGAGGAAGAAGCATTGTACACTTTTCCGTCAGTTAGAGGGAGGCACTTCACAGGACGTTCCAAAGCACATCACAGGACAGAATCTGAATCATATAATATTTGTCCTTCACTATAATAATAATAATAATCATCATCATCATCATCATCATCTTTATTTATATCCCGCTACCATCTCCCCAAAGGGGACTTGGGGTGGCTTTAATGAGGCCGAGCCCAGAAATACATTATAGCAAAATAAAATAAAACAACAGAACTAACGCCACAGTAAGATAGATAAAGCATAAGAATACAATAAAACAATACAAACAATACAAAATAATGCGATGAGAAATCAATCACAATGAGCGGAACAAATGTACAATGTAAAATGATAAAACTGGATGAGATGAAATGAAAAAGAAATATTTGTAAGTGAGAAGCTCATAGGAGATGGAGTAGTGGAGACAGGCTTTCACCCAGGTGGAGGGAAATACAGTATGAGAAAAACAGGCAGGGAAATACAGTCTGAGGACAACATTATGGGAGGAGCAACAAAAAAGAGGTGGGGGCTTGTTTAATCTTCACTATTTGCCTAATCTTTCACTATTTAGTTAAGCCATATGTATGTTACAATAAAAGTAACTTAACTTAGTAACACACATAGGGAAAACGTATCCCCCATATTAGTATTTTTTTTTTGAGGCCATGCAATTTCTACAGAGTTTTGAGGATGGATCATTGCACTTTTGATTGTACTGCAGTTACCCTTGCCTGCCCTGGATAAAGAAAAGTGATTGCCTCAGACAATAAACGGTGGTGATGACTATGGTTGCATCTGCACTCTAAAATTAATGCAGTTCAACACCATTTTAACTGCCATGGTTTAATATTATGGAATCCTGGTATTCATAGTTTGGTGAGGCATAAGCACACTTTGGCAGAGAGGAAAAAAGACCTTGTAAAACTACAACTCAACTCCCAGGATCCCATAGCATTGAGCTATGCTATGCATTGAGCATTGAGCTATCTACAGTGGAGATATACTCTGTGGCAACTTTGTTGAGTTTGAACCTCTTTTGCTGGTGTTCGAAACTATCCCACTGTACACACTGAAGGAAATCCAGCTTCCAGTCCAGTGAGCCTCCTCATATCAGCATTATTAGCAAATCAGTTTAACAACAACAACAACAACAACAACATCAACAACTTTATTTTATACCCTGCCACCATCTCCCCGAAGGGACTTGGGGTGGCTTACAAATGGGACACGATGTCCATGAAACATAAAAGCAAAAACAATCCAGAAAACAAATCATATTAAATTAATAAGATCCCAGATAATGAGGAAAATTTCTGTTTGGAGCAGGAGTAATGGAAACAGTTGAGCCTGTTCTTCTGCACTGTGTTCTATAAAACCATTGCAGAGAATAGCTAATCACCTCTCTGCTAACAGCTTTTTCTGGAAACAAGAGTTCCCTCTCAAAGTGGCAAAATATCCAGCCCTGACAATGAATTTCCAAATATATCTCTCAGAAAATTCCACCGAAATGCAAGGATTTATGATTTATCCAGTAGATCAAAAAAGCAATGGGAACCGAGAATATGTTGTACTGTGATGTAACTTACTGATATAGGCCATAAATCAAATGGTTTTACTCCAAAAATGACCTTTAGATTGAGCGGAGGGGATTTCCAATAGTCACCCATGTCCTTAAGGGTTTTAAAATGGATTATTTTCCATTTTTTCTGGAATGACAATGTCCGGCTCTCAAGTATGAGTTGTTCCATGGTTTTTGTTTTGGTTTTTTTTTCAACATCATCAACAAAGAAATAATCAAAAGTGTTCAGTCAGTGATAACCAACGCTTTTCTGTTCATTGACAAAAGTCCCTTCACTGAGGCATGATAGGGATTTAAATATTTTGAAGTGGTAGTGACTTTGTGCATTACTTTCCCCTGTTGCTTCTGTTTGAAATGCTGCTAGTTCCTGCTTGGTTTCCAACAGACCCCCCAACCTCTGAGGTTGCCTGCCATAGATGCAGGCAAAACATCAGGAGAGAATGCTTCTGGAACATGGCCATACGGCCTGAAAAACTTACAGCAACCCAGTGATTCCAGCCATGAAAGCCTTTGACAATACAATATATAATTACTTCTAATTGTAAGGTTGAGTTCTGCATACCTATCTCTCTTCTTGGAGCACTTGGGGGAAGGATAGAGGAAGGTAATGGGTAATGTTTTGAAGACAGTCCACCTTGGTGACCATCAATCCACTTTGATGACTGATGGGTGTAGCTTGTCTCTGCAACAATGGAGTTGTGTAATCAGTTGGTTACTTGTTTTCAAGAACTGCACTTATGCAGTTTCTGAGATAAATGTTATTTGACTGACCTGATACACTTGTTAAAATCTCCCCATCAGACTTGTTTGGTGGTTCCTTAAACAAATAACTCTTCAACTTTACTTTCTTTGAGTCATACATTGACCCCCTTATGTTAACTCAATTTAACCATAGCACCATCCTCCTATATAGCTGCTGAGGAAAGTGCCTAAGTGATATAACTTATGCTATCTTTTTTGCAGTCACACCCTTTTGCTCAATCAAAGAGAGGGCATATCTCCAAGCACACATAGCGATCTGCCAATTGTCTTTCCTCTTGTGCCAAGCTGCCAGCATTACCAATGGCAAATCAATAATGTCACACTGTTATTCAGCCTTGCTACTTTCAGGCAGTGAGTGTGCCCTGCATCTTACAAGAGCTATCCAAGGTGCTAATTGGGTTCAATAACTTGGATGGCATGCAAGCAATCCAAGCAATGGAGCTATCAGCTGACTCCAATTCTCTGGTGGCAAACCTATGATCATTCAGCATATTATTTGGTTTGTCACTGTATCAGAATTTAATAAAAATATGAGTTCATTTGAGTCATCTAGGAAATGTAAGGACTATATTCTTCAAAAAGAAAAGTGCAATATGTTGGGGTTTTTTAATCGTGTCAGAAGTGACTTGAGAAACTGAAAGTTGTTTTGGTGTGAGATAATTGGCTATCTGCAGAGACGTTACCCAGAGGATTCCCGGATGTGTTACCATCCTGTGGGAGACTTCTCTCATGTCCCTGCATGGGAAACTGGAGCTGGCAGATGGGAGCTCACCCCATCTCGCGGATTAGAACCACTAACCTTCAGATCAGCAGTTAGCTGGCACAAGGGTTTAACCCATTGCACCACTGTGGCTCCAGATTCCATTGGTGATGAGGGAGCATCCAGCGCACAGTAACACGAGTTAAAATAAAAATAAAAAGTTTAAGTAAAAATAGTTAAAATATGAATCTATAACTTGCAGCTGTTCAAAGCATCCTCTGTGTGTGTGTGTGTGTGAAAGAGAAACTTTCACAATTGGACAGATGCCCATATGGTTAAATAGCACAGCTGTTTAAAAGCTGTAACTCACAACCATTCAAAGCATACAATGTGTGTTGAAAGAGAGAAACTTTCCTGATGAGGCAAATCCCAGCATGACTAAACAGCACAGCCAAAGAGTTTATTTTAAATAGAGATACACAAGGTGCAGATCTTAAATTATGAAAATCTGCCTTATGTAGAATCAGATTTTTGGTGGAAATGACTCTCTCGGGTTTCAGTATATCCAGCCCAGGAGACTCTGCACAATTCCATTTGCATTGTTTTACAAAATATAAATATACAGGATGTACATGAATGAAAAATCAAATGACCAGAACATTGGAAGAATAGATTAAAAGACTGAATATTTTAGGTGAAGAAAAATAACTAAGATGGGACACACAGAAGAGGGATTGATACATTTATTTGCGGTGTGAACGAGAATACATATACATTATTATTTTCCTCTCTTTTTTCTTGAGAACACTACAATACAGGATCAAAAAATGATGTTAATTCTAAGCATATTGCCTGCATATTGTACCTCAGGTAACATGTAATTCTTAGCTTCAAGATACAGTGGTGGCTACCAGAATAAAAAACTTCTATACAATATCATAATTACCAACCATAACTGACCAAAAATCTATTCTCCATATGCAAAACCAATCTACCTCTGATTAACAAATGCCAGTGAGAACTGAAACAACATCATATTCTTTCTGTTTTGGACTTCCCAGTCTCCTCATTTTGTTCACTGTCGACAACCCTATAGATTTTTGTGGGATGTAATCAAACTCAGAGAAGATCCACTGAAAGTTGCATGTCTAACTTCAGTTTCATTAGTCATTGTTATAGTCCCATTGTTTATAATTGGGTTCAATATTTGTATATCAATAAACCATAAAAAGGTGAAAATGGGAAAAAATCAACATTTCCATGTTTTTTCTTCAAGTAAATATTTTTTCCCAGTTTCTCCACAAGTAATTTCAATAATAACATAAACATTCAAATACCTCTCAGTGTGACCCACTCATAGAGCTCTGCGTAAATTATAACCAAGTGTCAAGAGTTTGGTTTTGCCAGTTTCTTCTTGTCCTCCAAACACACAAAATGTTAAATCTAAACATAGTAGCTACCAATCTAGGGAATTATCACTTGCTCATCATCTATGGAAAATAATTAAGAACAGAAATCTCTGCTAATGAGTATTATGACAAGAAACACTGCCAAGTCAGCTTTACGCATGGGTTGCAAGGACATATGCAACTCCATTGAATGCATTCAGCATAATATATGAAGCATTCCTTGAAAGGCATTATCACACAGTGCCATTTAACTACAGTGCACAACACTATTAATTGAGCTAAGAAACCATTCTCCTAGGAAATGCAAGGTTAAAAAATATCTGACCTTCACCCCCTCTTTCCCCTCCACTCACCACCATGGGAAACACAGGCAAGCAGAGCTGACTTTGTCTCGCTGTTGCTCACGTTAGCTGCAGCTAGGCTGGTCCTCTAGACAATAAGGGCAAGGAATGTGTGAGGTTGTCTGTAAGGACAAACGCAGCCTCTTGCCGTCTGCCTGGCATTTCTGAGGCTCTTGTCTATTCCAGCCATTCATTCCAGGGGAAGAATGACAACAGCTCTTTGGAGCTAAGTCCTGCCTCCTCTCCTCAAACAGTCCAGGGTGGAGAGAAAAAAACGAGCAGGGAAGGAAGAGCAGGAGAGAGACAGAGACTTCGTGATCTTCATGCAAACTACTAGCCCTCCTGCTGCCAGCATTTGCTACTTCTGCCAAGGATGACATTCAGGATACAGCATTGGATCCTTATTATGTAAGGCAGTCTAGGTCAAGTGTAGGAGAGAGACAACTGGCCTGAACAAGCTAGTGGGGTTCCTGCTTCAGCAGAATGATTTATGGGGGAGTGGAAGTTGGATTGTGACCTTTTGCTGCATCCACTTGGGTAAATGTTTCTTTAATTGCATGATTTTGTGGTAACTCTATGATGTGTTTGCGCCCTTCAGTTCATACCGATTGCCAGCCATTCAGTAGAATGCAGAAGGGGGAAATCGAGAGGGGGGAAATCAGACTTGTTCTCATGCTGGAAGAAGCGTAGCATTTCTTACCATTGCTTTTGGCTTTTGAAACACTCTGCAAAATGATGAATAATATATTAGGGCTGGCTTAACAAACATCTTCTCTCACACACTCTTTCTATCTCCGTGGGGGAAATCACTGTTGATTTGACTGATTAAGCAATGAAACAAATCCATTTCCTTTGAGGTGTTGCAGTGAAAATGTTATTAGAAATGGCTATTAATGGCAAAAGATTTGCTGCAGTTTGCAGGTTTTTGGACTGGCTGGGATTCAAATGTGTGTTAAAAACTTGCTTCCTTTAAAAAAGGAATTACATTATATCAGTTCTTGTCTGTCTATATATGCACATTTCTCTGCTATTGTAGGTCACAGAAAAATTGAGAAAGACATTTGACTAGCAATTGCTGGTTGCCTGTGTGCGTTTACATGCCCAGAATATACATTCAGGGCTGTGCATACTGCGGACAAGATTAAGCACAACGACTGCTTTGCAGAGATCTAGATATGATGCCTTGGCTGGTTATTTCAGCAGGTGATTTCTTTAAGTAAAAGGGCTTTAAAATTGGCTGGGCTGTATTTGGACAACCTAGAAAAATTTGCATTGATCCTATAATTACATTTATTGACAAATATGTTGCAATGGAAAAGGAAAGGAATAGAGGATTGAGGGAGGAGACTCTCAGTTGTGGGTTGCAGTAGGCAGGACCTTGGATATTAAATAGCACAACCCTGATGCAGCAGTTTTTTGGATGAGTTTTTGAGCAAAAGAGCTCATTTTGCCTGTGTGTTACTATTTAGGCAGCATGATACATTTTAAAAAAAAACTTGGAGCTTGTAGGCTTTGTTCAGTACCATGGACAGGGATGAAGACAGATTTCTTCAAGCCTGTCTAAAAAGGCAGGGCAAGGGATTGATCATTGTTAAAAATTAACTTGTCTGCACACTGTTTACTGTTTTTTCTGCTTGGAAACTCTGCAGTGACCCATCTCAGGGGGTAAAATGGTCCCTGGTCAGCAAACAATCTCAGGAAATTCTGCCAACTTGCTAGTATCTAGATAGACTGACTGTGCTTCTTTTTAAGGGTGATCTGATGTAACCATGGGATGTTGCTTATTCATATCATGTATGTCACTTATGCTGAAATAGTAAATGTGTTCATCACTGTTTTTCTTTCATAGCCATGACTGTGATTGCTTGTTAAAGGAAGGATATTTCTAGCATATAATAGGAGGGGTGGAAGAGTGAGCAGTGTTACCAATATCAAGCATTCAGGGAATCAGTCTTTCATTCTGATCTTAGATGCTTTTCATGAAAGTAGATCAGGCAACTGCTGCACTTTATATTGGTTTCCTCAGTAACACCTTATAATGTTATGCATGCTTATTGAAAAGTGAGTCCAATTGTATTCAGTAAGCTTGTTTTATGTGTGCATAAGAGTTCGGACTGCATTATTCATAGTTAGGGCTCTTCTCCCTTCTTTCCTCTCCTTGCATTAAAAAAGTGATACTTTGTTCTATATTGATAACAGAGGCCCCTTCTATACTCTATATAAAATCCAGATTATCTGCTTTATATGGCAGTAGTAACATATGGCAGAAGCAGACTCATATAATCAATTTCAAAGCAGATAATGTGGATTATCTGTTTTGATTATTTGTGTTATGAGATGACAGTGTAGAAGGGGCTTGATTGGTGTGTGTGTGTGTATGGCAGGACATTGTGTCTATAGGTTTCATTTCACTAACTACCAGTTAAATTGGCATGTTGTTTATATCAACAGAGGCGGCCCTAGGTAATTTTCAACGGTAAGCAAACAGTATTTTGGCGCCCCCCCCCCCCAACCAATCATTGATATATATTTTCTGTTTGTCGTGGGAGTTCTGTGTGCCATATTTGGTTCAATTCCATCATTGGTGGAGTTCAGAATGCTCTTTGATTGTAGGTGAACTATACATCCCAGTAACTACACTTGCCGCACTTGCTCCCTTGCCTGGCCAAGTCATGGGGAAGGGATCGAACGTGGAGAACGATTGAGCACCGGCTCTGCTTGCGCACCCGGTGGCCGGGTGGAGCAGGAACGAGAGGGGCTAGGCGAGGCTCAAGGGCCCGGCCTCTTTGGGAAGAGGATCGCCCGGCAGCGAGGCAAGAAAGCCGAGGCTCCCCCCAGACTGCTAGGGCTGTTGTGAGCTGAGGGAGCGCTCCTCAAGTGGCAGTTGAGGGGCATTTACAGAGGTGCCTCTGTGCCCCTAGCAAAAAAAGTGTTCTGCGACCGCTTACTTCGCGTAATGGACGAGCCCCCCTGTATATCAACACAACAGTCTGGTATAAATTACTATAATTACATTGGAATATGTTCAAAGAGTCACACAGAACTTTTTCCTGACATGACTATATTTATTTATTTATTTACTTTACTTTACTTTACTTTACTTTTATACTGCTGTTCTCAGCCCGAAGGTGACTCACAGCGGTTCACAGGACACAAGACACAGCAAAATTTAATACACTAATATAAAACAGTTAATAACCAATCTAATACACAGTTAGTATACAATTGCTATAATAACCATTCACTAGCGTCCCTTCACTAAAAAACATGATCCAGATTCGTCATCCATTGTTCCATTCCTATGTCATTGCCAGTCATTGCACTATACATGGGGTAGCAAGCTGAAGACTGAAGCCCTACACATCCCATTCAGCTTGTCCAATGGGCGGCAGCCAGATTGCTCACTGGAGCATCGTACAGGGAGCATACCACCCCTGTCAACTCCACTGGCTGCCGGTCCATTCCCAAGCACAATTCAAAGTGCTGGTCTTGGTCTATAAAGCCCTACATGACTCCGGCCCAGCTTATTTGTCGAAATATATCTCCCTCTACGTTCTGCCTCGTAGTCTAAGATCTGCTGGGGAGGCCCTGCTCTCGGTCCCACCATCTTCGCAAACGCAGCTGGTGGGGACGAGGGACAGGGCCTTCTCAGTGGTTACCCCCCACCTGTGGAATTCGCTTCCCAGCAAAATTAGATAGGCATCCTCCCTCCTTTCTTTCTGAAGAAATCTGAAGACATGTTTGTGGAACCAGGCTTTTGGCTAATGGATATAACAGCACCTGAACAGTTAATTGGACCAGAGGGTTGTTATAATGGAAATGCCTTTATGATTGGTTAACTAATGTTGTTTTAATGTATTGTATTGTATGATTTTATTTTGCTTTTATAATTGTAATTATTGCGACATCGAATCATTGCCATTGTTAGCCGCTCTGAGTCCCCCTGCGGGGGTGAGAAGAGTGGGGTAGAAATGCTGTAAATAATAATAATAATAATAATAATAATAATAATAATAATAATAATAATTGTATGTAAGTCCAATGGAGTTCAAGGGAGCTCTCAGAGAAGCATCTAGAGGGCTGAAACTGCCCATGTGCAACATCACTAAATGCATTGGTAAGCCACCAAGTTCAATGAAATCAATGCCCAGATATGGGATTTCCTAAACCAAATTTTTGGTTAAATTTATACATGGCTCCTCTGGGATCAATGGAACTTAGTCTCAGCTATGCATGTGTAGAATGGCAGTCTAAATATGTGTGTCAGACCAGGAATGTGCTGAGGATGTGGAAGGGCTGCATGAGTCCCATTGCCAGTACAGGACAAAGGGTTATTTTGAAGAGCAAGGTGACAACTCAACAGCAAGTACAATCAAACAGGGAATACATGTCACAAGTGGGGAGAGGATAATTAAGATGAAGGTGAAATGCCTCAAACCAGTGTCCTCCAGATGTGGTGGGCAGCAACTAGGAATGTGAAAACTATCATCAATATTCATAACCTTAGTTCAGAAATGATCCCCATGATACCCAAATGAGGAAAAGGGTGAATATCTGTGAGATCCTACACATATCAAAACTTTGTTCAAGAAAAAAATATATTTGTGTAAAAAAGAGAGGAGAGTTTGCACAAAAAACAGTTTTCACAAAATTCATTGTTTCCTTCACAAAACTATTGCTCTTTGCACAGAAAACATACTACCTGTTTCTAAAAGCATATGTGCATTCTACTTGCTGATAATTTTCAAGGTGCATGGAGTTGTGTATCAGAATAGGTTTTACAGTTTGGTGGCTTTCCCTCAACAAAGGGGATAAACTTATCTTTCAAGGTTTTAATGGCAATTCTTATGAAAATGAAAAGCAATCCTTTGTACAAACTATAGAAATTGATATGAAACATTTCATAGGGATGGGTGCAGTGGTTGGTTGCTTGTTCATAGTAGAGCTGTGTCCGAAGCTATGACTAACTTTCAACCTTGGATTCAGTGGGACCTAATGGCATCTAACATGGGTCCAACCATTTATCATAATCACAGTAAAGTAGTAAGCAATTACTTTACAAGCTCCCTGTCTAAAAATAACACAACACACATACAAACGTCATTACGTTTCCAGTAACAAAATTATTTCTGGACTACCTTTGACAATGTGTTATGATATAGAGTCATCTAAAGAGACAGAGCTTTGCCAGGTGGCAACTTGTACTTGCTAATTTGTCTTTATCATTTCTATTTATTGTTCATTGCACATTTTATTCTGCCTGTCCTTCAAGAAGCTCAGGGTGGGGTTTAAAGCTCACACCGAGACTGTAAGGTGAGTTAGACTGAGAGACAGTGACTGGCTCAGAGTCACTCAGGGAGCTCCATGGATAAACGTCTTTCATCCTAATGTGAGACTACAACCACTCTTGACTTCTGTTGGGCTGAACATACAAACTGAACCGAGGGAAATTATATGGTAGATTTCCATCTCTTGCTAGCTCATGCCAGCAAAGACAACAGTGATGGGCAAACCTACCTTTCTTCAATAGCATTACC